TCTAAATAAATATTAATAAGACTACTTCTTCTAGAGCTTTACTAATCTATAATTAATTAATATATTATATAGTAGTAACTATAAAGTTAACTACTAATTAGTATTAGTTTTATAGGATTAGCTAGCTAGTAGGGTATTATAAGTAGTAAATATTATATTATATTAACTACGTTAGTAGTAATATAGATAAGGTTAACTATATTAGAAGTAGTAGCTATAATTATAGCGTTAATCGCAGAAGCTAGCGCCTTATATAATTACTAATTACGTAAGGCGCGCCTAGCTTGATTAACGCTGCGATAGGCTGGTGTTGCTGACATTATTATTATCTTACTTTAGTATTATAATATTATACTTATATTACGCTCTAAATAGTATTAAAAAGCTTAAATTATATTAAAAAGCGCGTTAATTAACGTTAGTAGCGTTATTATTAATAGTAAAAAGTAGCGTAGAGGGGCAATAAATCGCGCACTAATAGGGGTTTTAGGTAAGGCAAACGCAAATAAGTGCATATGGATAGGGCGCGCAATATGCCGCGGATCTACGCCCGCCGCCTGACTAGCCGCAGGCTTACCTCGCCTCACTTGAGGGAAAACATTTGCTTTTTCCGCCAGAGATGTTTCGCGCAGCCACGAGGGACTTCTGAACGCGGGATGAAGCAAATGACAGGAATAAGAATTGCACCAATCGTTGAGGAATGCTGCAAGGTGTCAAACGGAGCGTCTAAGCACAGCCATCATCCAGGATCTCGTTTACAGCAGGGCGCGCTAAGAATGCCCCCCCACTCTCGGATCGTCCCTTGATACGCCGACATCGTGGTAATCGATGAGCCTCAACGGACCTCTCTGGATGTCCGATGCGTTGGTAAATGAGTTCCTTGTTCCCCAGAACACGCTAGTGTTGGTGGCACCCTTGAATTTTGTGACCTCACCACATCGTCGTTTGGCAAGACGTTTGGCAGGGCTAAGATCCTGTGCTTGCTCCCACTTCTTTCAATCTTTTGGTCAAGGGATGGAAGATGCTCCAGGGCGCTCGTCATATCAGCGATAGTACATGTACTGCTGCAGAGGGTGCGATAATGATAGAAACCACAAATATCAAGCCCATTGCCGAATAAGTTGCGTAACCCTGCTGTAGTACCACCTGAGAAAGGAAGCATGCATTATGCATGTTTGCTGGACCCGCAATCCCGCTTGCTCGTACAAACACGGATCATTCTGAGTTTCTGACCGGTGAGCCAATTTCAAAGCCTGAACTCATTAGGCAATCGGACGACGCGAATGCGATGATTGGCTCCGATATTAACATCGTCATTGCTAACTTAGTTTAATCCGCGGGAAGTTGACAATGCAGACTTACGCATTTCAGAGAAAGACCTTGGGGTGCATTCCGGCTGTATGTTTCCGCTCTAACCCAAGAAGACCCCTGCAGAACCGGGCCTAGCTTTGACATATCGAGAAATTGAACCTCCATGATCATGTCAGACGCCGAAGCCTTTGACAATGAGAGAGCTGCGAGAAGGCAGCCTGATGTGGACATAAGAGCTCAAAATATGATTTCGTGGGCTCACAATTTCACTTTGGTAGGAGATCCGACGTTTTCCAAAAGCTAGTTGGACCTTAGCACAGTTTCACCGGAAGTGGGTAGGTTAGTGTTTTCCTACATGCGGTGCATATCGACATGACCCTCAGGCTGTTCAAGTCAAGTCAGCTAACGGACTATCGGACAACCATCAGCCAGAGCGTCTGTTGAGTCTCCGGCCCCGCACCGGCCGCCACGGAGTCGTGCGTGTACACCAGAAGCGTGAGATATTGACATCAAATCACGCAGGTCCTTTGAGCGTCGTGAATCTTGGCTAGATTCCTCGAAAAGTATTCTCGACACATAGGGTGTGCACATATAAGTGTGGCTCCGCGACGTCTAGGTGCCGTATCAATATGACGCATATGAAAGATCTTGCCTGTTGAACTAAAGCTTTCTGAGGTTTAATATGTCTCTTCAACATACTGGTGCTTGTTTAAGCGTTTTAGCGAAGTGGCCGAAAACACGACTGCTGACACCCGGGCTGCTTCAATTGAGGCCTGTGTGCTCAAATAAATCGCCAACATTTACGCCTGAGACTCGTGGTTTCAACCAATTTTTCTCGCAGTCCCTTTCGTACTTTTGGAGCGCAGGCCGAGAAAATCAAGACATACAGGAACGAAAGAGCGTATTTACTTACATTAAAAACTGAAGAGATACTTACTATCTTGAAGGCCCTCCACCAGCTATAACTATCTATAGCTCAGTCATCTTCTGATTCCACCTATCTAGACTTCCACGGCGATAGGTGGAGGTTTTCATGATATCGTCTAAGGTATAGATAAGTACCTGGCTCGATCCCCATAGAGTCTTTTGTTAGAGCCGTAATCAAGATTAGCAGTTCCTTCCCAATGAAGGAAAATATCGGCATATAGTTAATAAGTCTTTATATAGTAGTTAAGATGGCTGGAAACAGACTCAAGCATAGATATAAGTAAGGGGCTATTGAAGACAACTGAGATGAAAGTAGACTGCAAGTGGAGTTGGATGTTTTCACAGCACCCTCATAAATGAAGGGATTGATACACAGACACAATCCCATGATGCAGGACTTTGGAAAAAAGGTGTTGCAAGCATAATGCCACTGCAAATGGAGTGTATTTGAAACCCAAACTCATCACTGCAGCGATCAGACGCATTACCCGCAGTTGCCCAAGGCATATTCATGCACATGCCTTCCCTGCGCGGCTGTGATCTCAATAAAAAGGACAAAAGTAGGTTTCGGTACGGGTATGATGCAGTCTGACAGTACTTTTGTGGGCGTGGCGGCCGATTAATGCTGTGATCAAAGTAGTATTGAAGTGACTATTTCTTCTGTCGCATAACGCGCTTAGCTGGCCATCCACTGGCCTCCATTGGCACTGACCAGGCATCCTGTCATCCATCCGCTCTCAGGTGAGCAGATCATACCAACAATGCCAGCAATCTCCTCGGCATATCCCGCGCGACCGCCGTACTTCTCGGCCATCTCCTTCTGCTCCTCGGTATCCCACTCCCGGATTCCGCACAGCGGCGTGAGGGGGTACCACATTGAAATGGCCTTCTTGGCATCATCAGAGGCACCACGGAGCATGTCCGTCATGGTGGAGCTGGGGTTGCAAGAGTTGACGGTGCAGTGCTCCTTCAGCTCGCGGGCCCAGGTGCGCGTCATCGCCTCGAGGGCACCCTTGCTGCCTCCGTACAGCGTCAGGTACTCGAGGCCCACCTTGGAGCCGATACTCGAAACGTTGACGATGCGGCCCGAGCGGTCGTTGGGAAGAAGTGGCTTGACGGCCTGAGTAAGGAGGATGGGGCCGAGGACGTTGATGGAGTAGACCTTGTGGAAGTCCTCGATGTTGACGGCCTCGAGGGGCATGGCGTGGAAGAGGGCGGCGCAGTTGACGAGGATGTCAACCTGGGGCTTCCCTGTCTTGGCATTGGGCGGCAGGTCGCTCTTCACGGTCTCGATAATCTTGGTGCAGCCCTCAGGCGTGCTGAAGTCGGCGCGGACAGGAACGGCCTTGACATTGTGTGCTTTTGAGAGCTGGGCTGCGAGGTCGGCCGCAGGCTCGTCGGAAGATTCGTTCAGGTAGATGATGACCACGTTGGCACCCTTGGAGGCGAGGTTCTGGGCAATGGAGGCACCAATGCCTTGTGTATCTTGTCAGCAGCGTCCTCGGGGTAGTATCAACAAAGAATGAACTCACTTCTCGCACCACCCGTGATGACAGCGGTCTTTCCCTCATGCACCCTGTACGGAGGGGCTTGGGTGATTGGAACGGTGATTTCTGTGGCAGTCATGGTGTCTGATGGTACGCGCAAGGAGCGATTCGTGCGGTGGATAGTATGCTGTGGTTTCCAACAAGAGTCTGCTCACAACGGCATGCAGAGTTCAACTGCCACTTCGTAACAAGGGATCCGGGACCATGGTAATTAAGGAAAGCAGGAGGGAGATATGACAGCCGGAACGTTTTACCCACGACCCTGTCTGCTGCGTCCCCATTTCCGGGTCCAGAGCGGATGCTCTAAACCAGTTGTGGCATATGCCTCCGACCTGAAGCTCGTTCCCATGTCGAAGGGTTCCTAAAAGAGGAACTGTCAAGTGGTTCCCCATTGTCTGTGGGTGGACCATGGTACGAAGGGTGCGGGGATGTGATCAAATTGGCAGGATCATCACTTTTTCCTCGCTAATGAACCGGTTCGTGGGGGCTAGATCATAAGGAAGACGCAGGATATTCTGCCTGGTGAGGGTCCTTTCTAGCAACGTTCGGAACGCGGATGGCTTAGTCTTCTCTTTCGATTCGAGGCTTTGGAGAAGAGGTAGGAACGCGGCGACCAGCGTAGTATTCTTTCCACCGCTGAGCATCGGTTGATAGGGGGAAAACGTACGTTACCTGCCCATCCCGCAAAGAATTGCCTCACGGCTCCGTTTTCACTTCACCCTGAGCGTCCTCTCACAGTGATGGGGATGAGGAACTTGCCAACCAGCCCTGGCACTGCCCTGGCGCATGATACCCCACAGGTGGGGTTTCTTCAACGTTTTCTTCAGGGGTCCGTCAGGGGTTCGAGAGGGTCCTACTAGGCTGGGAAATGATCATCTCGGATTTGTCTGCTGTCGATCGACACGAGTGCGCACCTTTGGGATGGCAGCTCGTTACGGCGAGCTCAGCTCACCAGGCGGCTGGGATATCACGTGTTGCATACCTTATTGTGTGAGAAAGCTCATGCATCCATTGGCAGGCGGCATCAATTCCTTCTCGGTTAAGTGACAAGGTTAATATATTGCTCTTGCCATTTCTTGTTTCTTGAGCGAAATTTCCCACGTGCGCTCACCAACATACATACGGCTGTTTGGCCACTTTCTTGAGCATCTCCAAGCTAAATCATTGATATATCTCTGAACCGAAAGGATAGGCCATGCGACTGACAACAACAAGATGACGACCTTGGATCCAACGCAGCGTTTTGTCGACCACCTCGAAGGCACAGGCCTCAGCCTTTTCGTTGTATCCATTGTTGGCGGCATAGTCTCGCTAGTGGTGGTGGGGGCACGCACATATTTCCGACTTAAGGAGAGAAACTTCAGCTTCGACGATGGCTTGATGTTGAGTGGGTTGGTAAGTTAGATGTTCGAGGCTCGACGACATGCGCTTGCTCGAAACTGACTAGTACTTATCGCTAGGTTGTCTATCTCGCAGATGTTGCTCTTGCATGTGTGGGTGCCCTCAGCGGCTTGGGTCGACGCAATGCCGACCTTAGCGCAACGATGATGGTTGAATCCATCAAGTACTTGATGATCTGGATGTTGCTATACGTCATAGCATTATGTCTTGTCAAGTCATCTATCTGCATCACCACTCTGCGAATTGCCACCACGATGCCCAAATTGCGCGTTGCCGTCTATGTTCTGCTTGGGCTCATCATTGCTACATTTCTCACGACTTTCATCGGCATCTTGCTACTCTGCCGACCAGTCGAGGCAAACTGGGACGCAAGCCTCATAGCAGATGGCCGCGGGGAATGTTCCCCTGTCACCTCTATGTTGGGCTTGTCATACACGTCAACAGCCAGCACCATTGCGACGGATCTGGCTTGCGCGGTTCTTCCAGCCATCATTCTTATGCAGACGCAGATGAGGCTGTCGACGAAGATCATGGTTGCAACTTTCCTCTCTTTCGGTTCTTTGTAAGTCATCCCTTAGAGGTTCTTCGCCTATCGCCTAACTCTAATCTCCCTCAAGTGCTTCAGTCTCGACAATGATCAGAACCCCTTACATCGACCATTACAATCGCCCGCTCGACGATCTTGCTTGTAAGTCTATTGCGATACTTAGTTGACAATCGTTTTACTAAGTTCATTCGCTCCGTAGATCACATTGGCAACATTCCTCTATGGTCCAACGTCGAGACTGCCATCGGCTTGATTGCAGGATCTCTCCCCGCCCTGCGCCAATTCGTCATGCGACATCGAGCACCGCGAGCTACAACCAGAGGCACTGAGGGTTCCATCGGACTGCAGCCACCATCAGCCGGGCTTGTGACAATCGGTGGCTCTGGAGGGACATCAAAGATCAGGGGTCGGAAGGGCATGAAGTCTAACTTTGAGATCGATGAAGCCGACCAAGGCGATTGGACGCGTCTAGAGGAGGACAATGGGTCGGACAAGGACAGCACTGTGCCTATTCGGGGGATCAGAAAGGATATGACTTATGAAGTTGAGACGTCATCGGCCGGGGATAGCCAGCATTCTGGCAGGAAGTGATCAACCATCGTGATCACAACTTGAAGCCTACGATATTTGGCCCGGTTGCTCCTTCGGCATGCTGCTATCCACAAAAATCAACTGAGGGCGGAATATGCAAAGAAAAAAAATCGAGGACGGAAAATCGGCTTTCTTAGCCAGGGGCTCGCGTCTCGTCTAGAATAGTCTTTGCAAATTAGAGCCAACAGCATCTCAAGAACGACAGCTCTGATTACGCGGACCAATTAATATGCCAGTATTGGAGGTTTTTGGTGGGGGCCGAAATCTTCCCCTGCCTTTTGACAAGGGGCCTGGTCGATTGATCCATGATCATGCGACATTCCTGTTGGATCGTCAACGTGTCGACTGACCGCTACGATGGAAGCGAACCATGCGACTTTGGTTCGGCACAAGCGGTGTCCATTCCCCGAAGGCTTTCAACTCCAGTTCCATGAGGTTGAAATGCCTCTGACCTTGTTCGCAAAAATATGTCCCCGAACATAGCATAGATCAACCACGGATCAATTCAATCCAGCGGGACGGTCCGGCCGGCGGATGGTCATCCCGGACGCTCATTTCGGGGATACGACGGGTTTCCGGCGAAATTGCAACGCTGGTTCTCTTCTCCGCCTGGGCATGCACCAACTCCGAGGAACATCGTCCCACGATCCAGACTGCGTAGCCAATTGGGTAAGAAACGTGCAGAGCTTACTGTTGGCAATTTATGGGTCTTGTTGTACGAGCGGAATCTGCTCCGATGCTTCTCCAATTTCCAAGTGCGGCGCAGAATGCGGAGATATCACGCTTCTGGGATGCGATCTCAGCCTGCTGTGATGTCCATTCATAAATCAGAACACATAAGGCTGATGGCTTCCTCCGTGCGATCTCAATTCAAGCGAAGTTTTCACTGGCATGTATGAGCCGATCCGACGGGATAACAGGCTACCGGTTCCTTTTCCAGCCGATATGATTTGGGATGTGATCGTCGTAGGAGGCGGCCTCGCCGGGTCGGTCATTTCCAACCGCCTTGCGGGGTACCGTCCAGAGCTCAAGATCCTCGTAGTGGAAGCTGGGCCCAACGCCAACGATCGGCAAGATATCGTCTGGCCTAACTCCACAAACACTATTGGCGGAGATTTTGACTGGAAGCTCGCTTCCGTTCCTCAGGTACACGTGGACAACCGGTCCATCACCCTCGCCCAAGGAAAGGCTCTGGGCGGCGGAACTGTCATCAATATGGGTACGACCCTCCTTTTGCAGGGTATTTTCGAACCACACTGACCTCAAACCAAGGCCTGTGGACCCGGGGTGACAAAGTTGACTACGACCTCTGGGGTGAAGCTGTTGATGATGACCGTTGGACCTACGATGGACTCTTACCATACATGAAGAAAGCGGAGACCTTCTGGAATTCTACGATCAACTCGGATCAGCATGGTTATGACGGGCCAGTGGAAATACAGTCCGTCACATCAACAAAGCGACCATTCCCTCTTCGTGAGAAGGTGCTGCAGTCGTGGCACGAAATTGGCGTCGAACCCATTCCGTTGTTTGATGGCAATGCCGGGAACCCTCTCGGTGTTGCCGAGTACACTGAGAACAAGAGCAATGGTCGACGGGAGATTGCCGCCGCAGTTTACTCCCTAGAAAATGTGACAGTGCTAACGGATACACAAGTCGCCAAGGTCCTCCTTTCTAACACGACTGAGGGGCTGATAGCCACAGGTATTGAGCTAGCGAACGGAACCCATATTTTAGGTCGGCAGACTATTCTCTCAGCCGGTGCAGTTCATACTCCGCAGCTTTTGATGCTCTCGGGTACGTCAAGTATTTCGGGCAGTGCCTAGCAATTGTTGACCAGGAACCTTAGGCATCGGACCCCGTGATGAGCTTGAGGCGGTGGGCGTTGACGTGAAGCTTGATGCTCCTGAAGTTGGCAAGAACTATGCCGATCACTTCCTGTCGCCGTCATCCTGGAATGTCAAGAACCCTGAGGAAGGCTGGGCGGTAGGATCTCCCGCATTCCCGACAGCGGAACAGTACGGCTGGGGGACCGCCACAGATTTCATCGTCTGCTCCAGTGTACCAAAAGAGGGACTCGCCAAGGCTATTGAAGAAGATGAGGGTGCTGCACCCGGCCCCGATCATCCTCTCTTGAAGCAAGAACGTACCTTCTTCGAACACTTCTTCCTCTACTCTGGATCTACCGACGGCTCAAAAGTCGCAATCTCCGGCATCTTCATCTTGCCGACTTCGCGGGGCTCTATCAAGCTTGCGTCTGGAAACATTACCGACTCGCCCTTGATCGACCCCAATTATCTCGCGACTGCCGTCGATCGCTACATCGTACGTGAGGGTATTCGTCAGGAAATTACTTTTGCTGGCAGCGACAAAACAGTTCTTGGCCGTGAGATTCTGAACGGCGAAGCAGTTCCGGCAGGGTTTGACGAACCGTACACTGTGAACTCGACTGATGAGTACATCGATGCAAGGATTCGTGCTGCTGCTCGGTAATGTGACTTGTTCCGTTGTACAGGAGCAGTAACTAACTGAGGCTAGTTCCGTTCATCATCCGATGGGCTCAGTAGCGATGGGCAAGGTAGTTGGTGGCGATCTCAAGGTCAAAGGGGTGCAAGGCCTGCGTGTTGTGGATGCGTCAGTCTTCCCGGTGGTTATCTCTGCTCATCTTCAAGTGGCTACATTTGCTCTTGCTGAGCAGGCTGCCGAAATCATTGCGAAAGAGTATTAAAATTCATCTGCTACGAGCTTATGATATTTCAAGCCAAGAGCAATAAAGGTTTGAGGCGGATAGGAAAGTCCCAGCAGATTTGATACTGTCTGTCCGACGAGTGCTTTAGCGCGTAAATAGACACCGGAGAACATGGTCTCTGAACCATGACTGGTTCTTTTTGCAAGAGTTGACGATGATGTCTCTCCCCTCCCGTGCGACGTGGTCGATCTGTAACTCGGACTTGTCTTGTGCAAGTGTGCCAAAACTGAGGAGATGCACGCCCACCTGAGCAGCAATGCGAAGGGCAACGTCTACCGGTAGAGATCCCAAACCTGCAGCATACCCTTCAATGACGTGGATGCCTGCATCGGAGCCATCGTAAAGCCAGGTTGAGTAGAGTTCTCCGATCATTTCGCCGTGATCCATAGCGGGCACACCGATTTGGGCATTTTCCCAGTCCACAACAAACAGGCCGGTCTCTTTTCCATCCCGAGGTGACTCGTCACGAATCAGTATGCTGGTCCTTGGTCAATGTCCGATTCCAGATGTCTGTGAGGCGCCAACTTACTTCTGTGGGCAAAAATCTCCATGGATGACCGTCGGCGCCGCGGACCCGTTCTTCAGCTCGTCGATACCCTGCTCTCTTAGACGCACGAAAACATCTTTTGCGTCTTTCAAGATGTCTGGAAACTGCTCAACACGTTCCAGCAGCCAGTCATAGTTGACCATGAGCTTCAGATCCTGCATTTCACTGCTGCGTCTGATTGCCTCGTGAAGAGTCGACAGGTGAGGACTGGTTCCCTCCTCTGCGTGGACCCGAGCTACCGGGCTTGTGTTCTGGTGAAATTGGCTTATGTACTCTGCCAACGCCCTACCGATGTGAAGGTAGTGTTGCTTCAATAGCACGGTAAGAGGTTCCTCGCAGCTCTTCAGCACAATGCTTTTCAGATCCAGAGTCCCTGGCAGATACTCTTGAATCTGTATTTTGGTTTTGTCGTCGTAGAGATAACATTCAGGAGTGCCTACGCGGTAGCGAGCGCTCTGAGATGTCTGGTGAAGGGGCTTGAGTGCATGCAGATGCTTCAGGCAAGCTGCCTCGACGGACTATGGCAGGTTAGCAAAGAGATTCAGATGGATGGGTTGACATACACAACGATCGGTGGTTATAGCATTGCTCGGATGCCTAGCCATGTATGGTTCTCCATGTTTGACAATGACTTCGCTGATATCCCCGCCAGAATTACCTTGAGCTTTTACTCGTTGCTTCAAGTGCGCGAGGTAGGTGAAGTTGGATTGACCTCCGGTCAACGGGTTGAGCGAAACCGGCTTGAATACTGTTGTATTCATCCACGCGCATAGTCTGGAGCGAAGATCCTCCGCAGTCTCGCGGGGCACTGCCATCGTTAGTTGAGATTCTACTGAGTGGAACAACGAACGTCTTGTGGCGTGTTGCTCAGGAAGCCAGCTTTAGTTAAGGAAAGGGATATACGGCTGCCTGCTGTATCAGGTAGTGAGGAAACATTTGAACCCCTCTCATGGATGCCTGCGTGTTTCTCTCCTACGGGTTTACGCATATGTTCAAAAATGGCTGCTGACATCATTTTTAACATCGCATGGCAGCAATAAATGCTTCGTCGTATGCACAACAGCTAGCATACCCACCGTGACGAGGCTGCTACAGCGTCAGCTAAGATATGCAGCTAAATATTGCTCCATTCTCCCGATTGAGTAGGCTCAACATGCGGTACTGGTAGGCAGCAGCTGCCTACTCCTGGAGATGGTGAGGAGATTTGTGGGGGTTCGCAATCCCCGGCACAGCTATCTTGCAGCCTAAATACATGCATGCACATCTGAAGGTTTTCATTGGCCCATCAAAGCTCGTCGTTATGGAGGAAGGTAGGCCTTCCCTTCATACCTCATTTTCCCCTCATCAATCTTCTTCCTCAGCAATTAAGCATTTCAACAGGAATGGCTGTAAAAAGTAAGCCTTGCGCAGTATGTGCGCAGGTTCTCCTACCACCACCGGAAACCCGGAATTATAAGGGCACGAAAATAACGCCTGTTGGCCAATCACTGGACGTTTTCAAGCAAACCGCCCAGACGTGCTTCATATGTAACCTGGTTTGGAATGCTACCGAGCAACACCCCACTGCATGGGAAACAGCACGATTCGACCATTGGAAAGGCCTGGAGTATCATATTGACGATGTCGATCAAGAAGAATTTGATACGGCCCCAACGGAGATTCAAATCAGCGTCTTCTACCACAGTCCCTTGACTGGTATCCTCGACAATGTTCGGGTCGAAATGTACCGCATCGAAAGTGATGGTTTGTGTTCCACCTTTTTGGCTGAAGTCTTATACTGTCCGCCGCTAACAACGATAAGATGACCAACCTGGAGAAGGAGAAGAAAAAGCATGCGGCAACGATATACTGTTTTCTCTAAGGAATTTGGAAAGAAGTACCGCTTCGGAATCGACACTCAGCCTTGCCAAATCTTGGTATCGACACTGCTCGGAACGTCACAAGGAATGTGCGTCTACGCAAAGCCAGTGGCTCCCAACCCGACTCCTGGATGTTGGAGGACACGGTAGTCCGGAATGGAAGCTTGTTATACCCGCTGAAGATCTGCCACAGCATGTGGAGCATCCTCCCTACATGACTTTGAGTTACCGATGGGGACCAAACTCTGACTTTCTCCTTCTTTCCGATACCATCATGCTGTTTCGCTCGGGGCAGGCTATCAGGGACATGCCACAGACATTTCAAGACCTGATTACGGTAGCGCATTATTTCGGCATTCGATACATCTGGATAGACTGCCTGTGCATCATGCAAGATTCAGCGGAAGACTGGGAGACGGAGGCGGCACTAATGGCAGAGGTTTACAGTCACTCAGCTTGTAACATTGCTGCAGTGGATGGGCAAGGCCCTCGAGATGGCCTGTTTAGAAATCGGGATCCGGAACAACTGCGACACAGAATAATGCCTAGCAGCATAGGCTCATCAAAGCCAACGGACTACTATGTAACCCGCATGGGATACTTCCAGCAACAGCTGAACCCCGGTACCTTGATGGAACGAGGCTGGGTTCTTCAAGAATGGTTCCTGGCGCCAAGAATGCTTTACTTTGCATCACGACAAGTTCTTTGGGAATGTCGCCAACCGATAGCCAAATGCGAAACGTTCAGAAGTGGTATTCCTTACGAGTACACCCTAAAGAGATCTCGATACGACCTCAAGACGGTTCAGCGAGATATCGACGAGGAATGCGGACTGCTCACTGCCGAGGAGGCCAACACGTGGGTCAGACTGGTAGGCAGGTACTCACGATGCGACCTCAGCCGCCCCAGCGACAAATTAGCTGCATTTGCTGGAGTAGCCAAATTGTTCCTCCGCGCATCAGGAGACACCTATCTTGCGGGAATGTGGAAGTCGAGAATTCTGCACGAGCTCACTTGGGTTGTCGTCCCACCCCGAGCCAGACCTGCATGTGGCTACAGAGCCCCATCGTGGTCTTGGGCTTCGGTGGATGGGCCAATCGATATGAGATCCCCGAAGCCACTTCATGAGGTAGAATATTGGGTTGAGCTTATTGATGCCAGCGTTGAGAGCATCGCGAAAGATACTACAGTCAGTGTCATCGGGGGTTTGCTTACGCTGAGCGGAAACGTCATCAGCTTTCGATACAAGAGGGCTGGAGATTTCGAAATAACCCTGTCAGCAGGCGAGTTTCCTACTGACACGACGCCTCCGGTATCAGTGTGGGTTGACACGTTGGATGATCAATTGGCTCAGTCGGGACAAGTCCATATCTTGCTCTTGAAGAGGGAGGGGTCTAGGAAGCGTAATGCAGCGCGTGACGGATTCGACGTTGTGACAGAAACAACTGGAATGTTGCTCAAGCCTGTCGACATAAACGCAGTGGACGCGAACGAATACCGGCGAATAGGCCTTATTACCAGTATGGACGAGAATGTTGCACTGATGTTCCAATGTGCTTCTTTGCATAGCAGGAAGAAACAAGTTGTCATCGTCTAAAATTGGGGAAGGAACGCTCTTTAATATTACCTACCTCTTTCATCCATCTCAGACAACTGACCTTCGCTTCACCTTTCATCCCAGAACTGCATTAGCCTCTCATATTCACTGCCATGGAACGTAAAGTATTAACCACAAAAACAATCTCACTTTCTTTCCTGTTTTTTTTTTTTTACGATGCCTTTCCCATAGCGAATCACAATTCATTCTTCCCTCAGGCTAGGTAACAAAACAAAGATTCACCTATCTTTGTCCTCGCCTTGCAACTTCCTCACCACCTACAGCCTGTCACTCTTCCCTGCTTCTCTCATCTTCACAAACTTTCACATCCGCCAAAGTGAAGCAGCACTTCCCCAGCATCACACCAATCTTGCGCATTGCAATACAACAATGGACGCGCGCAAGCCTTCCTGGAAGGCCTGGTGCCATGGCCTGCTCTACATGCTTTCTGTCATGATGCTTATTAGCACCTCCCAGGCTTACGTTCAAGGTGAAGATCTCCCTTGCTCGCGCGTCCTTCCCAAAATACTGACTTTGTCCTCTTTTCAGGTGGTCACCACAAGCGTGTGGAAAGATCCTCCTTCCAGGCTGCCCATTCAGCCCTCTTCGACCAAGTCTCCAGCATTCCCACGCCTGGCCTCGACCGTCGCGAGATGCAAACCATCGTGCTCACGACCACCATCTCAACCTACATCGAACTCAGGATCCCCTGCGAAGCTACTGAGATTCCCCAATCCATGAGCTCTCTGCTTACTCGCCCTCCGCCTTTATCCATCCCGACCTCCCTGGGCACCATCGTGACAGGTGGAATCAGTCTCACGGCGCCCGATGGCAGCTCTCTCGCTCCTTCTGAGACCAGCGCTCTCAGCTCTTCATCGACCGCCGAAAGGCCCAAGCCTTCTTCTTCCAACTTTCTCTCCTCGAGCCAGACTTCCTCCCCTTCTACCACCGGCACCCAGAGCTCTGCAATCAACCA